CTAGCTGCATGTATAATAACAATAAATTATGGTTGTGTCATACCAGGACTGTACAAGCAGCAGGTTTGTTTCTTGTACGTTTTTCCAATAGGGGAGTAGCGTATTTTTTTAATAAAGCCAAAAGACGCAACTCCTCGAAACCGAAACCGAAACCCGACGGAGGTCGGAGAAGTGGAGAGAAGAGAGCGACTGGCGGAAGTCACGTGGCTACACCCTACCGTGCGTTTTTTTTTTTTTTTTGTCTTTTTTCCGGTAGCAGACGACAGGACATGCGGCGTGCGATGGGGCGTGCGATGGGGCGTGCGGGAACTGCTCGCCGTGCGATTTTTTTTTGCAGTTATGTTTGTTCCGCTCGTTGTTCTGTACTCCAAGATGAGTTGTTTTGTACATTGAGGAGTTGGAGATGAGTAGTGAGTGCCCGTGGTGAATTTCCATGATCGGCTCCGAAAATAATACACCCAAGATGTTGCGTGAAGAGCTGGCTTACATTTCCTGAATCCGAAAAAAAGTGGCATTGTGCGACAGAGTTTCCGAAAGATCAACGGGATCAGGACCAACGGCTGGCTGCAATTCCTGTAAAACATATACGGGCACCTCGGAAAGCGGACGTTACCTGATTTATATGCTCCTTGCATTTTGTGGAAAGTGATTACATTGAGCTCGCAGGTGTCAAAACGGATATCCCATACCATTTAAATCAGCGAAGTATCGTCCACAACATTAGTTTGTTATTTTTTGTTTGTTTCTTCAGTGCTGATTGTAAAAAAAAATATATGTGTAAACATCGGAAAATGTTTGAAGAAAAACAAAATTAGGTTCCACGGGGGATCGAACCCGGTCCTACCGCGTGTGAACCGGACGTCTTTCCCACTGAGCTACTGGCGCATCGCTTTTCTGGTGGATCTCTTTCCTTAGTAACAATTCAGCCGGTAAACTGTAAATTGGAAAGTTTGCTGTCGATTTTTCTCTAGCAAAAGCACTCCTGGGTCGAAGTCGGAAAGCACCACGCTTTGGGGACATTCGCACCTAGTAAAGAAATCGTACGCGTGCATATTGAACTCGAAGTAGACGCGTCGTGCTTGACGTTTGCGCGAGCGATGTCTTCAGCCACGAGAAGGGATCGACGGCTCGGCGACGTCTTGGTGCAAATCGGCTTGGTGGCCGGGCGTGTCGTACGGGATGAATACCAATTCTTTTGATCAGTCCCAAATTTTTCTTTTCACGGTAGACAGAATTCGCCGGTACCGCGAACGACAGTTCTGAAATAGAGGTCCCACGCCCGTCGTCCGCTGCCATCGCCGTCCCCGCGAGTCCCACGATACGCGAAACGACGAACGCACAGAATGCTTCCGGTTGTCTGTGGAACTTTTTTTTTCAATCAACGTATTTACAGCTTTTTAGAAGCCACAAAAAATGGGTTTCATATTTTTTTCTATCTTTAATAATGAGTGTGTGCCTTCAGTGACCCACGACTTTGATTGAATTAGGTGGTCGCATCGATACCTTAGAAAACGGCCCGTGACCGCGAAAAAAAGAATGAGCGAGACTCGAACCGGCCAGTTCTTGATCGGCGGTTTTCGGGCGGAAAGAAACCGAATTTCGAGCCGCAAATTCTGTTCTGGGTAGTTGAGCTCTCATATGTCACGTAAAACTAAAAACCTCAGCGAGCATAAATACCCTGTCAGTGTCCCTTTAACAGGCGTTTTTGCTTTGTTCTTGGGTTTTGGGGTCTGCCAATCCGTGCCTTCGAAGTCAGACAGGTTTGTGGATGGATCAGCAGCCTCAGCTGCTACTTCCATCTCCCTAGTTTCGCAGGCAGGTTTGCCTGCAGGCTTCGGTTGATCGGGTGTTCGAGAGGGCGGTTGCCGCCCTCGGCCCGATCCACAGGGAGGAGTGGGGGAGGAGCTGGGCAAATTGTCCTGCTCCATCGGTTCCACTCCATTAGAGCCAGGGGCGGTGCGAGAGTCGCGCCGCTCCCTAGAAGAAAAGCCCCTCCCAAGCGAGTTGGAGCGAGGGCTTCGCTCCTTCTCCCTCAGGGAGGGTCCAGGAGGGACAGTGGGCACGGCTGCCGCCGTCCCACTCTGTGAGAGGGCAGCTTGCGTGCTCCCTCGAGGTGTCTGAGGGGGCAGCTGCCTGCGTTCAGGAGTTGGGGCCTTGAGGGCCACTGCCAGCATCTCTGGCGAGACCTGGGTGGCCCTTGACTCCGAGCGTGGTGCAGGGCCCCTGCGCACCATCTCGGCATAGCCTCCCTTTGAGAGAAATGACAACCTTTTCTTAGCCTCTGGATATGTGATATTTTCCTTGGCTTTTAGTGAAAGAATTTTTTTTCTTGTTTCCACAGAGGGCAGGTGCGGGAGTAGGCTGGGCGTGGTCCACTGCAGTTACTGCAGCGGGCCACTGCGTCGCAGATGTCAGCGACGTGGTCCTGCCCTCCGCACTTCGCACAAGTCTCTTTTCCTCTGCAACTCCGTGAACTGTGGCCAAATCGTTGGCAGCGGAAACATCGATCGTTGCGGGTTGGGGATGTAGGGACGAATGCGGCAGTTCAGGTAGCCTGCTTTGATTGTTGCGGGAAGAGCATGTTTCTCAAAGGTCAGGATGACGTGTCTTGATGGGGTTTCTCTGCCATCATCTTTTCGAAACATTATGCGTTTTGCGGGGACAACGCCGGCGCCTTTAAGTCCTTCAAGGAGTTCTTCTTCACTTGTTTCCAGAAGGCCGTCCTCGGAAAGAACTCCACGGATGGTGTTGAGTGTGCGGTGAGGACTCACCGACACTTTCACATCTACAATGTTTGTTAGCTTACATAAAGCTTCGCTATGAAGTTTTGTATCCACCTCAACAAGGAGGTCTCCAGAGTGCAGTTTCTTGGCCTTATACGAGAACCCGATAAGGTGTTCCAGAACCTTCGACACAATAAAAGGAGATATCTTTGCAACGGGTTTTTGTTCATCTAAAGAATGAACAACAAAGAACTTGGTAAAGTTTTCCACAGGAGGGTCTTTTTCAAAGGTTTTGTGCTCAAGGCAGCGCCTTTTCCAGGGCTGTCGTGAGCTGGGTTTAGGAGGAGGGGCAGCCATAAGAGGCGGAGAATGTTCAGAACCTGTGGTGTGCCGCCCACCACGGAGCCAAACAAGGGAATAGTTAACGGACCATAACAAAAAGGGCTTTGCTGGAACCGTTAGACTATTAGCACTGCCCAAGTGTGGTTTTGGAAAAGGGGTCTGTCGCCACCCAAGGTTAGCCCTTGCCGCCAAAGGAGTTGAAAAAGGAAAGAAGAGAAATGAGAAGAGTGAAAAGTATGAGAAGACAAAGGCGAAAGAAGGGAGGGGATAGTAGAAGTGGGGACTAGGCTGAATCATCCTGGTCGGGCCAAGCCAGGACTCCCCTCTACGGGAAGAGGGGGCCGAAGTGGTGTATTGCTTCGCCCGGGGGGCCCCGAAGGGTCCAAACCTACCCCGGGCTCGGCTCAACCACCAGGATGCCCTTTTCTCCGAACAAGGGAATGCCACGCACAGCCAGACGTGGGCGGGCGAAGCCGCATGGCTCGGGGTCCGTGGAGACGCCACTCTCCAAACACCTGCTTTCACAGGTGCCCCCTGCGGGGCGGCACAGCAAGGTTTCATAAAGACAACTCTTGCATGAACAGCATTCCCAAGCTCCAAGAAGAGGCTTTGTAACGTGGAGCTTGTTTTCACACTCCCTGTCCCATTCCAACTGCCAACAACGAAAAAGTGATGACTACTAAAGGCTTTATATCCTGATATGGTAAACAGAAAGACGATTGGACAAGGTATCCCACAGACCCTGCAAGCCTGTCGGCCTTCTCGTTGCCCTCTATGCCAACGTGACTAGGTACCCAACAAAATGTTATGCTTTGACCATCATGTAGAGCAGCGTTGAGTTTACTCTGAATTTGTTGTACAAGCATGTTTTTAGTGTCTTTAACAGAGCGAACTGCAACAATCACAGTTTGAGAATCAACAAAAAGAACAGCCCTAGTTATTTTCTTATGTAGAATGTAGTCTATTGCCATTGATACTGCATAGAGTTCTGCAGTAAAAATGCTAGCAAACGAATTAAGTCGCGTAACTTTAGAGAAGCGTTCTGAATACACAGCGCAGCCAACGAAAGATGAAGTCTTGGCGCCATCTGTGTAAACATGAAGATAACCATCATACTTGATTTGTACTTCACAAAACTCTTGCAGTATTACAGCATGGGAAATGCCATGTTTGTTAAATTTTGTGAGCGACCAGTCACAGGCAACTGGCAGTGTCTTCCAGGGTGGAATACGGTCGTCGACATTTCGAATGAGGCCGACCTGGTCCAATGAAAGATGCAGTGAAGTGCAAAGTTCTTCAATGCGCGAGCTTAATGGTGTCACAATGCTTGGCTTGTTGTTAAAGAGACGGGAAAACGTCGACCTTGTAAGGGAAGAATAAGTAGGGTGTTGAGGGTCAGCCAGAATTTTAAAAGCATACGTTAGGCTGATAGGTTCGTCGTTCGTTCAGCGATAGCTCATTAGCTTCTGCATATAAACCAGTTAAAAAATACCCATTGGGTCCAGTTGGTTTTTCCAATTGGTACCAGTTGGCATAACCATCTGTGTTTTCGGACTCCCAACTGGAAAAATACCAATTGGTATTTGTCCAGTTGGAAATAAACCCACTGGTATTTTACCAACTGGAACCATTACCAGTTGGTACTATTCCAGTTGGAACTGTAACCATCTGTGTTTTCGGACTCCCAACTGGAGAAATACCCATTGGCATTTTTTTTTTCAATTGCAACCGTAACCAATTGGTACTATTCCAATTGGAACCATAACCATCTGTTTTCGGACTCCCAATTATAAAAATACCAATTAGTATTTTCAATATTGGAAGTGTAACAAGTTGTGTTTAGCTACCATTCATTGGCACAAATCTTGCAGCAAGAACAAGCAATTAGCTTAACTGGACATTCATTGTATGCAGAGGATGCAGAACAGTGAAGAGTATATGTCAAATGAAAGCTTTATTTTGACTAGCAGGATACCTAAATATTACAGATTGAACGTTGAGACCAATGTTTCGTGGAACTTGGATGCAGTTGATGACAGGATCGCCATCTCATTCATGCTCAGCTCTGCCTCCTGCATGTCGAACATTTGTACCAGTTAAGTTGCATATCTAAGAAGCATCGTGAAAGAATGTAGCAAAGTCTAGACCTACAACAAATGGGTAAACACTTCGCTCACATGAGGTCAAAGTTGTATGATGCTCGACGCGTCATTAAGAGGGCAGTACAACAAGCCTTGTACTTTCAGTAAATACAGCTTTTGATTATTTATTGACATTCACAACCTATAAAACACATAAGATTTTCTATCCACGCATGGCAGTTGCAGAAGAAAAAAAAAAACTACCAGCGTTAACCTCCTAAACTCGCAGACAGAGTCAGTGACCACATGATCTGAAGCTGATTACATGCCACCAATGTTTATCATACCCACACGCTCTGGTTGGCGAAGCACAGCACACACAATGAATTCCACAGATTGCTAAGGTTCGGCAAACTCCTGTCGTCGCAATAACTGAGCACGAGCGGAGCCACTACTTGATTGCATGTCGAGGTATTGTCTTAAGCTCAAATAGAATGCTCACGGTGTGCTCATGTCCACTGTATGAGCCACACTTAAATATTGTCGCTGTGGGTATCACAAAGCTTTATGGCAAACTCCTGAGGATTCATGTTGTTGACAATGACGACAACACTATCCCCACAACCAAAGGAGAGAATGAAAAGAGGTATTCGCTTTTACTCTTTAAATTATGTGGCAAAAAAGAGGCTCCTTGGTCAGTGGCATTGAGTGCGAGTATTTCGGGTCCCACTGGTGCCAGTAAGTGTAGAGTGAGAAACATTGGACATAATATTATTACACGGCCCCTTTAAGTACAGCGTTCCCCCCAAATGTAGCGTCAGCGGTCCGTAACCAGATGCTAAAGTTTCAGAACTAATTTATCTCAATTAAAAGTTATAACTGATTTTCAAAGAACATTACAAGAATGGGGCCCATTTTTGGTAACTGGCACCATTCAGCTTCATGTATTCGAGAGCTGTTAGCCACCATTTTTCCACTAAAAATTGACACCTGTACTTCATCTTCCCACTGAAATTGACACCAACTCCATTTTCCACTGAAAACTGTAATTCATTAACAATGCACTCAGGATTATTAACTAGTAACTGCTCACACCACAAGTACAACTTCTGAAAGCATGACACTTAATGTGTTCACTCTGTCTAATAATAAAAAAAGTAAATTAAGACATAATCTCAAAAGTAAATTATGGCAATTATGGTAAACTGTGGCAAGTCAGCGCTTTCAGGAGGAATCCATAGTTCCTTTTTTAGATGCGCCTCAAACTTTTTTTTTTCACTGACATTTCATTACACTGGGTAACAAAGACTTTCAAGCTGACAGCTCAAAAGATTATGTTTTGTAGAGCTTCATTCATTCAGGCTCCTACCCTGCTCTGACCATATAGCTAGGAGTGTCTCAGGATATTTATTAATCAGAAATCGCCTATTTGCAATGCAGCAGCATCAAGAAAAGAAACAAAGAAGTTTCCTTACCTTGCACCCTTAAACTTTGTTATCCATCCTTCGCGCTCCAACGAGGTGGCAGGCCAAATGAAGTAATTATAACCACACTACTCAGCACTCGCAGCAATAAAACATGACTTGTTGAATCTCTACTGTAACCATGCAACAGATATCGTGCGTGCCATCGGTATGATTGGAGCCATGTGCGCATAAAAATCATACGCGGACGCCATCTTTGTTTGCCCAGTGTGCACAGATGCTTCCAACGATTCCTGCCGACTTTAGCGGGAAAAAAAGTTTACGCGCAATATTTAAGAAATCGATTACAACACGATGCAAAACAAAGAAAAAAATCCTTCCGCTTTCAATTTTTATATACAAATTGTCCTAATTTTGAGATTTAAAAAAGTATGGGCAGGTGATCCGATCAGATCCGATAACGATACCGGATATAATGCATGCGCAAAGGAGGTGTCAGAGTATCGGGTATCGTTATCGGAGGCAACGAAATGATCAACTAAAACTCTTTAATAGAAATTTTAGAAGAATGTTTCAATGCCTCCAATACAAAAAAAAACGAATTTTTTTTAAAGGTCATTTTTACATTCACCAACATCTAGAGAATATTCCCAGAAAGTTTCATTTATTTTGACTGCATAGTTATTTTGTTATAAATTATTTTGGGTCCACCGAGGCTAAAGAAAAGGCAGACGTTGAAGCACTTTGAACACATTTTTCTCCAGTCCACTTCTTGGCATAAATTTGACTTTGCAATGGCACAAAAAGAAAGGCTCACTCATTGTTTTTGCTAACTGGAATTTAGTGGGCAATGCAACGGTGACACGTTTTTTTTTTACAAATAAAACAAAATCTATTTGATTTGTCAACGTGATGTTAGTATAACATAAATTCCTTTTAAAAAATTGTTTTCTCAGTTGCATTGAAAAAAAAATGTTGCGTATTACATTAGTTTTCCCCGTTATAGTTTTTCTAAACAAGGTCAGTGCATTCCTGATAAATACAACTAATCTTTTGTACAATTTATGCATACACAGATAAACATTTGCAAAGTTGACCCTTTTGAATAGTGTCCTCCCTTAATTGGAATGTCCAATGATTGGTTTAAAAACTATTTACCATTTGGAAGTTGTTTCAATTAATATATTGAAATAATACTCAATGAAATGGCCAATTGGTGCATCACATACCAATTGGGCACTGCTATTCCATTTGGGATCTCGAAACAGATTCTAAAGGGAAACATATTCCATTTGGGGTAACCAATTAAAAAAATGTAACCCAATTGGTATCACTGGATACCAAGTGGGAACAACGTTCCCAACTGGGATGACCAGTTGGAAAAATGCATCCCAGTTGGAATGGCCAGTTGGTGGATTAGGTTCCAATTGGAAATCTCAATTCCAATTGGAGTCACCAATTGGAAAAATGTAACCCAATTGGTATCACTGGATACCAGTTGGAAACAACTATTCCAACTGGGATGACCAGTTGAAAAAATGCATCCCAACTGGAATGGCCAGTTGGTGGATTAAGTTCCAACTGGAAATCTCAATTCCAATTGGAGTCACCAATTGGTAATGCCAAAACCAATTGGACTCTGTGATTCCAACTGGGATCTCTCAGATTCCAATTCGTACCAACTGACTTTCCAATTGGAACCAATGGGTATTTTTAACTGGGAGGGGATGTTAGGAAAGCACCAGTTGCTAGTCTCAACCCCAGGTGGTGAACTGGGTCCAACATCTTGAGGGCAGATGGCCGGGCCGATCCATACACTATTGCACCATAGTCAAGACGAGATCTTACAAGGGCATTGTACAACCGTAGAATACATTTTCTGTCAGAACCCCATGACTTGTGAGATAGAACTTTCAAAAGATTCATAGACTGAAGACATCTAGTTTTTAAAGCTTTCAGGTGTGAAATAAAACTAAGTTTTTTATCAAATATCACACCAAGAAATCTGTGCTCTTTCCTGACAGGTACAGGGTTTCCATTTAGTTCCAGTGATGGGTCCAATGACAGCCCACGACGCAAAGAAAAGGGCACACAGACTGTTTGTGGATGCAGAAAACCGAAACCCATTTTCGTCAGCCCACTTGCAAAGTTTGTTTATGGCTATTTGCAATTGGCCCTCACAGCTGGAAAGGTTACAAGAGGAGGACGAGATCTGTATATCATCAGCGTAAAGGGAATATGAAACAGAAGGAGGTAGCAGTCACGCAATTGAATTCATTTTTAGCACAAATAAAGTCACGCTCAAGACTCCTCCTTGAGGGACTCCCATTTTCTTGCACGTAGGAATCGGATAGGTTGGAGCCAAGACGAACTTGAAAAGTCCTTAGGTTAGGATTAAGATTTTAATGGCGCAGCGGCAACGGTGGCCATAATGCGCCAAACAAAATGTTTTAAAGATCGAATGAAACAGATGCTAGGCTAGAGAAACTTTTTATAACTGGTGTAGATATCCAGTTTTGTTAATAAAATCAAAAACTCGTCCGAGTGGTACTAAGGCATTGTCTCCAAGTAAAAACATAGGATGAAAGGGAAGATGGTTTCTAAAGAGTTCAGGAAAACATGATACGTGCAGTTGATGATAAAACCTACATTCCCATAGAATGTGTAAAACTGTAGTAATTCCCCCCAATGGGCACAAACTGCAACATCTTCGCCACTTAGAAGGTATGTATGTGTCAAACGTGAATGGCCAATTCTCAAGCGGCAAAGCAGAACCTCAAGGTGGCGGTTCTTGTGGAATGAACTTTCCCAGATGCCTATCATGGGTTTAATCACGTGGAGCTTGTTGTTGGTTTTAGTGTCCCATTCCAGCTGCCAAGTCTTTAAAAGAGATTTCTTTAGAAGTGGTTTAAAATCCTGGTAGGGCAGGCCAAAAGATACTATTGAGTCTGGCGGATGCAGCCAGGCGATCTGCATTCTCATTTCCTGCGATTCCTACGTGACTCGGTACCCAGCAAAATTTGATAGTGCATCCAAGGCGAAGAGCTCTGTTTACTTTAATACGAACATGTTGTGTAAGTATAATCTTTGTAGAAACTCTGGAAGAAATAGCAGATAAGACACTTTGCGAATCGACAAAAATTACTGCGTTCAATACATTGTTGTCCAGAATATGCTCAATGGCTAATAAAATACCATAGAGCTCTGCGGTGAAGATGCTTGCCACTGAGTCAAGCTGTACAGCTCTTTCAAAGTTACTAGAATAAACTGCACAACCAACGTGACTTAAAGATTTCGACCCGTCGGTATAGTACTCGTTGCAACCTCTAGATATCCTTTCTTGTAAAGATATAAACTCTTTCTGAAGAAACTGTGGAGCAACGGTCTTCTTACTGTATTTGGTGAGAGACCAGTCACAACATACGGGTAGCTCGTTCCAAGGGGCAATTCTCTCTATAGATTTTAGCAAGTTAACGCCACTTGTGGAAGGGACAGGGAGGTTGAGAGAGTTACAGATACTTTGAACTCGAAAGCCTAGGGGGCGCACAATTGTTGGCTTGTTTTCAAACAATTTACAGAACTGAGGGGTGTGTAAAATACTATAAGCAGGATTTTTGGGATCCGAGAGGACTTTGTAATAATAACACAGGCTCAAGTACTGTCGCCGTTTTCCAAGAGACATTTGATGTGTGTCCACATACCAGCTTAATACGGGTGATGTGCGAAATGCCCCAGTGGCAAGCCGGAGCCCAAGGTGATGAACCGGATCCAACATCCTTAGTGTGGAAGGTCGTGCTGAACCATAAACGATCGCTCCATAATCCAGGCATGAGCGAACTAAAGCATTGTACGCCCGTAGGAGGCATCGCCTGTCAGACCCCCAAGATACATGTGACAGCACCTTAAGGATGTTAGAGGATTGCAAGCACTTCTGCTTTATTTCCTTTAAATGAGACTTAAATGTAAGCTTTTTATCAAAGATCATGCCTAAAAATTTATGTTCGTGCTTCACCGATATTTCTGTGTTATTCAATTGTAAGAATGGATCCAAAGATAGACCTCGTCGCAGGGAGAAGGGCACACACACTGTTTTCTCTGGGGAGAATTTAAAACCATTTTCATTTGCCCACCTGCTCATCCTATTTATCGTGAGCTGCAATTGCCGTTCACAACTAGAGAGGTTGCAAGACGAAAAAGATATTTGCACATCGTCCACGTAAAGAGAGTAAGAAACGGATGACGGTATAACTTGAGCTAGACTGTTTATCTTAACTGCAAATAAAGTGGCACTTAAAACTCCGCCCTGGGGGACACCATTTTCTTGTAAGAAGATACTGGATAAAGTCGAGCCTAATCGAACTTGAAATGTACGTTCACTTAAATAGTTCTGTAAGCAACGGAGCATACGGCCACGCACTCCACAGTTGTACAGATCTCGAAGGATACCATACCTCCATGTAGTGTCGTATGCCTTCTCTAAATCAAAAAACACAGACACACAATGCTGCCGGTGAACAAAGGCCTCGCGTATGACGGTCTCAAGTCGGACCAGATGGTCCATAGTCGACCGTCCAGCCCGAAAGCCACACTGGTTAGTATCGAAAAAGTTTTTCTCCTCCAAAAAAAAACATAAGGCGGCGATTTATAAGCCTTTCATAAGTTTTCCCCAAGCAGCTTGTAAGTCCTATGGGGCGGTAGCTTGTAGCTAGAGAGGGATCTTTTCCAGGCTTCAGCAAAGGTATAACGTGGGCACATCTCCAAGTATGCGGAAAAGCAGCAGCTTCCCAAAGGTAATTGAAAAAGGATAGCAGGTGGTACAAGGATTCATGAGAGAGGTGTTTGAGCATCTCGTAGTGAACTCTGTCTGGCCCTGGTGCAGACTGCTTTTTTAAGCTGAGAGCAACTTCGAGTTCACACATTGTGAATGGTTTGTTGTATGCAACAGAGTTAAAGCCTGACATAGTGAATTTCTGTTTTTCAGCGGTCTACCGCTGAAAAACTTTACAAACTCCGTACTGTAATTGGAAGAGCTACAAACACGCTGAAAATGTTCTGCGAGGAAGTCTGCTTGCCCTGTTAGAGATGCCGAGATCGAAGGAAAAAGTGGAATCCTGAAAGCGTGGTACTGCCCGTGAACTTTTTTGAGACGATCCCATACTTCTTTAGCCGTGACAAAACTATTTAAGGATGAAACATACTTTGTCCAAGAAGCCCACTTTGCTCGTTTTCGCGTCCATCGAGCTTGTGCTCTTTTTTTCCCAAACTCGATCAAGTTAAGGAAAGTTGGATATCGCCG